CAGAGCAGGGAGGCTGCCTGCGAGCACTGCCGGCCAAGCCACACCTGGGGACCACCCGGGGCTGACTCAGCTGAAGCGCTGCTGGAAACCAGAGGGTTTCGCGTTCCCGTGCCTGGGAAGGAGGAACACGCCATCCGATTTCATTGCTCCATTTATCTCTGCAGGAGCTGCTGATTCGGGCCCCAAGAAGGCGACCGGCGGAGGGACCGCAGCCCTGCGTAACGCGGGTGCATCGCTGACAATTAACATTCCCGGGGGAAAGCGCTGCTCGCGACAGACATCACCCCAGCGCCTGTGCCCTGACTCACGCTTGCAGCGTTCAAAGCCACCACCCGACACGCAGGGGTGCCAGCCTGCTCCTTGCCTACAGGAAAAGAAAGCGGCGCGCCACTGGCTGTATTTACAGATCAAACACCTCCCCTGAGCTACGACAAGAAGTGCCTGTGAATGGTTTGCTTCATCCCCATATCCTGCACATCAAACGAGCTCCGGCGCTCCCACGCAGATCTCTGGCACCCTTGCAGGAGATGGAAGCTGCTGCGGAGGTGTCAGCGCCCTGCTGCTGCTGCAGGAATAAGGGAGCCTGGCAAGGCGGCTCAGCCCCGGCAGGCACCGCAGGGCTTGGGGCAGGAGGAGGAACACAGCACAGGCTTTTTCACAGGGGGAAACCAGGGACCTCTTGAAAAAGCAAAACAAACAGGCCCTAACACAAACAGAAGTAGGGAAACGCGCTCGTCCCGCCCCGGAGAGTTTGACATCTGCTGTGATCCCTTCTTGCGCTCCTCTGCCCACAATCCCCCACTCAACCCCTGCCATTTCCAGCACCGGCTCCCCGCTGGTGGGTCGGCTCCCCTCCCGCGAGAGCACAGGGAGCAGGGGCGCTGGAGACCGGGGCTTTGCCCCTTCAAGCCGAGGGGAGGGATGCTCCGATCGGGCGGCTGTTTGCTTCAGATCCCTCTGCTCCCAGGAGGGGCATTTATAAGGCAACATTTTACCCTCCCTTATCCAGATAAGGGAAGCATTTGGAAATTCAGCACCTCTGCTGGCATTAGATTTGGAGGCTGACTCGTTTCCAGGAGGTTTCACCGAGAGACTTTCCATAAAGGAAATCAGATTTTGAAGGGCAAGCTAAAACTGCTTTCAATTGCTTTAAATAAAACAACCCAAAGAACAGGCTTTACTTCCTTCCCCTTTCAGCGATGGCCGAGGGACCTGACATCAGCAGCGCCACCCTTCCAGCCACTCTTCAACAACTGCCTGACAAAAACTTTTGCTTTTTCTTTTTCGCTACATTCAGCCCCCAGGAGCAGCCTGGATAATGCCCTGTGCCCCCCAGCCCCATCCCTCAGCCCACGCGGCTGCTCCCAGGGTTTCGCCCCACGGGCCAGGGTCAGACCCTTGGGGGCTGGAGGAGCCCCCGCTGCCCCTCCCACCCAGCCCCCCCCCGCCCCCCCCCCCCCCCCCCCCCGCATCGGCCGTTCAACAGCGCTAGCGAAGCCAAGCGCAGGATTCATTTGAAAAGCACTGGGGTTAGGGCATTTAGGCCGTTTGTTTTAACTCCCTGGGCGCAGCTGGCAGCTGTGGAACCTGCACAGTTGCACCGGGCTGGCAGGGCTGGGACATGGCTTCAGGATTGCTAATCCCCAAACAGAGGTGCAGGGATGGGTACGGCACACGAGCCACAGGCTTCCCTTCCACCAAGGCAGGGACTGGCAATTATTTGCCGTACAAGGGCACATCCAGCAATTCGTTTTTCCCGACAGCGTGCAGCCTGGTCCCTTTTTCAGGGCAGCTTTGTTTCTGTAACACGCTCTCTGCCGAGCAAAGGCAGCTTTAGGAGCAGCACCCGCCTGGCTCGAGAGATACACCAGTGCTCTGGGCGTGCTCCCAGTCTATCTGCGGCACTGGGAAGCAGGACTTGCTGGGAGGCCAGTGCCGCCACCCTCCCCAGTTGCCTGGCAGCACAGCGCAGGGATGGAGCCATTGCCTGGAGAAGAGAAGGCTGAGGGGGGATCTCATCAACACCTACAAATATCTCAAGGGTGGGGGTCACGAGGACGCAGCCAGACTCTTCCCAGTGGTGCCCAGCACCAGGACAAGGGGCCATGGGCACAAACTGGAGCAGAAGAGGTTCCGGTTGAACGGGAGGAAGAACTTGTTGACTGTGAGGGTGCCCGAGCCCTGGCCCAGGCTGCCCAGGGGGGCTGTGGAGTCTCCTTCTCTGGAGATCTTCAACCCCCGCCTGGACGCTGTCCTGTGCCCCCTGCTCTGGGTGAGCCTGCTTGGGCAGGGGGGTGGCACTGGGTGAGCTCCCGAGGGCCCTGCCACATGCTGGGATTCTGTGAAAACCTCTGCAAATTATCCACTGAATCGGGAATGTGAAACTCTACCCATGAAAGTTCAAGTCTGTCAAATACGCTATGGAATATGTATGGAATACGGCTGGCATTTGAGGAACCCGGCTCCTGATGCTGTTTAAAACCCATCAGCACAGGCAAATTCCTAGAGAAGGAGACTCTCTCAGCAACTGAAAGTGTGCATCAAAAAGAAGAGAACTCACCAATGTTAATCTCGTCGTCCGTTAGCGTGTCACCAATGAAGTCGAACTGGAAGGACTGCAAAGTCTGGGAGAATTTCTGTACTGCCGATGAGTAACCTGCAAAAGGAGAGAGCGGTAAAGGTTGCGTATTTTTACAACTGCTACACAAAAGTGGCAGGTCTCAGAAATTTAGCCTGAATGGAACAAAACTATAGCAAGGTGGTGAGAAAAGTCCATAGTCATCATGAATTTAACAGACATGAGAAAGCGCTGCAACGTTAATAATGGTTGCAGGCTGCAGAGAGCACTGGGTTGGTTTTGGTTTTCTTTCCCGGTGCTGCTGCAGCACTCCTGGGCGCACGGAATCGTGCCACCCGCCGATCGATAGCCCCGTGCCCTGCACAGACCCAGACACGTTCCCTTGCAGGAGAACACGCAGCTCCAAACACAGCGTTCGCCGCCGCCGCCACGGGAAGGTTTCCAGAGGAACGGGTACCCCGGGTGCCATGCGTGGGCCAGCACAGCTCCCCGGAGCACGGAGGCCGTCAGGCAGGAGACAGGCACGCTCAAAGTCATTTTTTCATTATTTGGGAGAAAAATCCATAAAGTCAGAAAATAAACGTGGGGAGAAGATAGGGCTCAAAATAACTGCCTGTCTTTGGGGGGTGACGGACACGAACGGGCCCCAAGAGAAGCAGGGCAGTGCTGCAGAGAGCGCAGCGGGCCGGGGGGCTCAAGCTGTGCTCATCAGAGCATCTGCAGATGGCCTGGGGACCCGCTCCTGGCCCACTGGCGAAGAGATGTCTGTGCTTCAAGACTGGACACTTCCTGATGGCGGTTGGTAGCTCAGCCCAAATTATTTTTGGACTTTCCAGAGAAGTTTCTAGCCAAAAGGATCCTTTGTGTCTTCGCATCCTGTGCGGCTGCTTCACAGCTTCGTCAGCAGCTCCGTTGTTGCAAAGGCGTCTGCCGACACCGGCCGAGGAGCTGCAGCCGGGACGGGGCAGCGACAACGCAGCAGCCCCCGGCGCCGAAGCCACCCACCCCCTGCCACCGCCGGGCCAACAGCAAACACCTGAGACACAAACAGGAGGAGGCTGAGCCTCCCTGACCCCAGGGAACAGGACGTAGACAATAAAACAAAAGCAAAGAATTAATTTTATACTTTGATTGATGTTGCTATTTTCCCTGATTTTGGACTCCAGCTACAGGCGCAGTCCCAGGCTGGGTGTCTGGGGGGGGCGGTGCACCGGTGACGGCGCTTTCTGAAATTCAGGAAGCTGCAAGCGTGGAAGACCTGATGGCAGAGACGCTAACGCCAGCCAGCTCTCACCCCCCTGCCCTGCCAAACCTGGGGAAAGAGCGCTGGGACGCAGCAACGCTGTGTACATGGGTGGGTTTGGTCTTCATTTGTCTGTTTGTTTAGAAAAAAATAAGACAAGCACAGTCACTTTTGGCACCAGTTGTTAAAACTGGGAACTGTGTCTGCTATAGGCTACCCCCTGCATTTCCAGCCTTCGGAAAATGGTGATCGGGGTGCGGTTTTGTTTGTTCTTTCCCACTGCAGACTCAGTGACAAAAGAACTCACCACCATGGGGGAAAACATGGGATTTTCTGACACACTGCTGTGAAGGGGAGAGAAAAATTGGACAACACTGAACTGGACGATGGGCGAAGAAATCAAGTGGCCCGCGTGGGATCCTGGCAGGTTCCCAGACGGCTCCGCTTCCTCGTCCCCAGGCCAGGAGCACCCCAGGGCCCCCCGGCCCTCCCCAAGGCCCCCGACCCAGC